CTGTCTCCAAGAGTCTGCTCTGAGCATCAGGTGACACCTGTCTGCTCGAAGTTTCCATGCTGGGGCTTTCCCATCTGGCCTTTGGCAGGCCAGTTTTTCACAGATCTCAGTAACAATAACTCATCATGCAGCTTTATCCATGTGGGCTATCTTTTATACCCAGTTCCCATAGAGGGTTGGGTATTAAGGTCAACTCCAGTGGTGGATATTTATTTCCTTAACCAAATTTGTGCCCTTCTACTGTTTCCATGCCTTGCAGTTTCAATATCCAGTTCTAGTGTGATCTCTTTGAGGACATTTAAAAGGGAAGTTAGTGTGTCCAGTGCGGACCATGCACCTGACCTAGTTGATGTGAGGCCAGAGAGAGTGATGGTCACCAGCAAACAGGGTCACATGCGATGTCCTCACTGTGGCTGCACTCGGTGTCCTAGAACTCCCTAGTGAGCAGTGTTAAAATGCAGGACTCAGTGGAGTACATACAAGTTATTAAATCTCACTACAATCACAGATAATTTGGATTTTCCAATGAGGCTACTGAGGCTCAGAATATGTGATTATGAATATCACAAGTACTAGGTACATGGTAGATTTGGGGGCTTAGAACCCAGATCTGTCAGATTCTAAAGCTCCCACTTTTCCACTATACAATGCTGTTCAAGAAAAAAAATAACTAGATTCAAAGCCTCAAGAAGACAAAGCTTTGTTTGTTTGTTTTTCGAGATGGGGTCTTGCTATATTGCTTAAACTGGCCTCAAACTTCTGGGCTCAAGTGATCTTCCTGCCTCAGCCTCTGGAGTACCTGGCCTGTGGTACCATTCCCAGCTTTCTTTCTGTTTGTGATACACTGATGTATTTTCATTTTTTCAGCGCCAAGAATTGAAGCCAAGGTCTCACATATGATAGACAAGTGCTCTGCCACTGAGCTTCACCCCTAGTCTTTACACTGATGTTTCTTAGGGACCAAGAACTATGCCTGGCACATACTAAATAATGAATAAAGTCACCCATAAGAGAGGAGACAGAAATGCAAACTTGTTCTTCTCTTCCAGGGAATGAAGTCTCTAACTCTTTCTGGACAGTCTGTCAGGGAAGCCACGGGTGCCACTTTCTAGACAAGATATAGTGTGATTCTGCTGTTCTCTCAGGTCTGTAGGCGAGGCTTAGTGCTGAGGAGTAGGGTATCCATCCCCAGAGAGCAGAGGCCGTCAGCTCCTGCCTGCCGGGCTACATTAAAGAGGCTCCTGGGATTCTTTGTCCTATTAATCAAGATCAACAAGGGTCTACAAATTGTACAGTTAAAAAGAAAATAACTGTGGGCTGGGGGTATAGCTCAGTGGTAGAGTGCTTGCCTAACATCTAAGAGTCTGGGTTTTACCTTCAGCATTACAAAAACTTGCACATTTAAAAAGGAAGTAAACATGATGAGTCTTACAGTAAAGGGGGTTCATGTAGTGAGATGTACTAATAAACTGTCAGGTTTATAGATATTTTGAAAATGCTGAAGCACTGTATAGCTCATGTATAAAATTTGAAAGTTAATACATTTGAACACCTGTTGTGGGCTAGACCGGGTGCCTAGAACTGTCACCTGTATCATTTAGTCCTCACAATAACTCTCGGAGGTCGTTATTATCTCCCATTGTGCATATGCTGATGATCTGTCTCAGAGAATAGAAGTGATTTGGCTACCATGTTGAATGAATAAGTGGTTGAATCCCCCTGGAAGCCAGAATGTTCAGACCTGCCGGTTTTCTACTGTACTCTTCTGCTTCCTGTCTCAGTTTAAGGCTAGAATATGCTTTATTTTTACCTCATGTCTGCATCACTGGGGGTCTAATCCAGGGCTATGTGTGTGCTAAGCAAGCACAGTATCAGTGAGGTATATCCCTTGTCCTTGAAATGGACTTTAGAAACCATTTTATACACTCATTTTATATAAGATCCTGGTGACCAAAAGCTTTAAGGGGACTTGCTTGGTTAATAGTGGAGTCATAATTAGAATTCAGTTTTCCAAAACAATTTGTTAAGCAACAAAAAATTACAGAATGTTACACTGGTGTTTCAAATAATTTAGTCAATATAGATCATAATTTAAAGTTTTGTAGCCATATATTAAAGAACAAGAACTAGGTGTGTGTGTGGTAGCACACCTGTAATCTCAGCAACCTGGGAGACTCAGGCAGGAGGATCACAAGTTCAAGCCCAGCCTAGGCAGCTCAGCAACTTATGAGACCCTGCCTCAAAATAAAAAAACAACAAAACAAAACAAAAGGGTTGGGGATGTAGCTCAGTGAGAAGGCCCCGGGTTCAATCCTTAGTACCACACAGCAAAAACAAACTACGGGGCTGGGGATTTAGCTCACTGGCACGGCCCCTGCCTCGAAAGCTCAAGGTTCAGAGTTCGATCCCCAGTACCAAACAAAAACAAAAAAACAAACAAACTAAAAACCACAAAGTGAAACTAATAACTGGGTATCCTGTATCACAATTTGGATTCCAGACCCTTTTGTTGTGTGTGTGTGTGGTGCTGGAGGTGAAGCCCAGGGCCTCATTCATACTAAGGTTAGTATCCTACCATTGAGCTACACCCAGCACAGATACTTTTTGAATTACTGTAATGTGTCTTCAATATCTTGGGTGAGTAGGACGAAAGAAACCCACTTTATGGCTATACTCAGCTCAATAATCAAACAGAAAACTTCTGTGATCGAATGTGTGGGAGTCGCCTCTCACCCACCCCAGCAAGCAGTTCTGTAGCACATAGAGCAGCTGGGCGTCCTCTAATCCCACTTGGTTTTGGTGTTGGCCTGGAGATAGTGCAGATCCCATAGGTTTATTCTCAGTTTCCAAGACAGATTCCCACTTCAGAATGGAAACAAAGACAGTGAGGCTCTGTGGCCTGTGCGTTGTTCGGTGAGGGGCTGGGCTGTGCCGGCCTGGTCTCCGCAGTGTCCCAATGCCTAGCACAGTGCATTTGAGTCCGGCAATGAAAGGACCGAGCAGGGGGAAAACAATCTCTAGTTTCTATGTAAGAGGACGCTGACTCTCTTTTGTGGTATTCCTGCTAAAAATTCATGTCCTGGATCTAACTATGAAGAGACATAACACAGACTAAAATTGAGGAACATTCTGAACAATAAATGACCTGTATATTTAAAAAATGTCAGGGTCACAGGATACGAAACAGAGCAGGAGACTGACTGGATTGAGGGGATTGAAGGGCATGACCAGATTGATCTGGGATGGGAAGGGAAAAAATGTTGTTTCTTTGGCTGTGAAGAACTTTAGGCCACTGACAAAATTTGAATAAGGTCTATAAATTAGGAAATATTGCTGTTTCACTTTGGTAATATTACTGTGGCTATAAGAAAGTGGTCTTGTTTTTAGGAATTAAGCACTTAAAAATTAAGGGGTAAGTGTCCTTATGTCTGCAATTTACACTTAAATGTTTCAGGCTGGAAAAAAGAAGCTGGGCCTCGTAGTGCACACCTGTAATCCAGCACTTGAGAGGCTGAGTTGAAGTCCAGCCTGGGCCCCAATGCCCAGCTATTCCTAGGTTTTGAAATATTTATTTTTTAAATAACTTTGTTGAGGTATTATTTATATACCATATGCACCGTGAATATCTTTTTATACATTTTAAAAATACTATCATTGTATAAGTGAGGAATTTTTCTAAAAATCAACTTTATGAAGTTGTAATTTATACGTAATAAAATGGATGTATTTTGATTGAATAGGTTAATGACTTTTGACACACATATTCTTCCTGTAAGCACCACTCCAAGCCAGATTCAAGACACAGAATATTCCCATTTTCCCAGAGTATTCCCTCATGCCCCTTTGTTTATACCCTGAGCTGGTTGTAAACATGGCAGTATTGTAAGTGCTCTCCAGTGAGGGCGGGAAGGATAGGGTGGGTGCCAGGTGAGTGAGTATGGAGTGGATGCTTTGGAGTGGGGCGAGGATGGCAGGCGAGGGGGTCAGGCCTGCATGCCAAGGGCCCCCTTCTACTGTGTTCGCGGCAGGTCCTTCATTCCAGAGTTGGCAGAGGCAGTGGCTGTCCCGGTGTCTGTCTCTTTTCTTTGGGCTTTGTTCTAGCTCAGAGGTTAGAGCATGTGTGCTCTAAGCATATGCTTCTGAGCATATTTCCATGAAAATGGAGAACAGATGTTGGCAGTGGTCTTTCTTGTCTGACTTTATAGGTGTTTTGACCATCTTACCTTTTCCTGTTTGTGTGTCACTTCGATGAGAGGTTGGGAGGAAGTACGTCAGGCATGGCTGTTGCCCTTTAATGTAGCAAATCTCTCGTGATGTTTAAAATGTCAGTATGGTATCATCATTATCGAAAGGGAAGATTTTGCCTTAAAAAAGTCTGTTTTGAAAAGGAATGAGGTTTGGAGATAGAGATTTTCCACATGTTGATGTTCAGTGAAGCTTCTGATTTGGTCACTTATTGGTCCTATTTGACGAGATAGGGAGCAGCTTATATTTGTATTCACCAAATTGTGGCCCAAGGAATCCCTGTCCCTCCACTTTCCATTCCCCCCCCTTTATTTTGTGATTTTCATTGTTCCATTGTTCATTTGGAGTAGCAGTCGTGTAGATTGTCAGCATCTACCAAGAAAGAGCTTGGGCAATGCATCAGATTTGGGTGTGACCCTGTCACTTGCCTGCATTTAGCATCTGGGGAACTGGTTCCTCCAAAGAGGACTAGGATTTAGGATTACCTTTATGTAACGTTGTGTTTGTGTGTGTGTGTGTCTGTGTGTGTGTGTGTTTATAGACAGTGTGTATATGTATGCCTACACAACCACACTGAATGCCTGGGACATAGTGATGCATTGTATTGTTATTACAAATGATTTTTTCATTTTTACTTTTCTGCCCAGGTGTGTTGCTTTTTAACAAAGCTTTTTTTTCTTCTTTGTAGTTGAGACGATAATTTATTAAAATGTATTCATCTACTTAAAATCTTGGGTCCTTTTCTGTCTCCTCAGGCATGCTGCAGACAGACCCTTCTGTCTTTCATGCACATGCGTGTGCTGGACAGATGACTGTCCCCCACCCTGTGCTGCTGTAGGTGGCCCGGACCCGGAGCTGTCCAGCAGGAAAAGATGGATTCCAAAGATGAAAACTCACACGTGTGGCCACCATCTGCAGAGCATGAACAGAACACCACACAGGTGAAGGGTGCTCTTTTCCAGCTGGCTGTTTATGGCAGGGTTTTAGTTGGGTACAGTTTGCTGACAGGTAAAGAAATAACAGCTATAGTAATGAGTTGTTGGGAGGGAGCCCACGTGAAGAAGTGGGGAGTGATTCAGCACGTGAATATTCCATCGAGATGGCTCACTGAGAGTTAGAAGAGTTCATCCAGCTCTAGGCTTCACTGCCTTCTCTGCAGCTTACTGTCAGAATCCATTTCACTGCACTGATTTACTTATGACATTGGTGTCAAAACCCTCAAATTGTTGTTTCTTTTATTGTCCAGTATAGGGCTTTTATTCCTTATAATGAATGGTAAGGTATGTTTATGAAGTGAATGGCCTTTTCTTTTTAAGTTTCGAATGCAAGTTGTTCCATTCTGAGTCACCATTTGGGGTGGTTAGTCACTTACTTGCATGCTACTGTCATTGATCTCTGCCTTTTGAATTACTATCAGAAGCAACTGCATGTGTTTTGTTTGTTTTTAGGGGTTTTTTTTGGCGGGGGGTGAGGATTGAACCCACAACCTTTGAGGTAAATGACATCCATAGCCCTTTTATACTTTTTATTTTGAGACATAGTGTTGCTAAGTTACCAAGTTGCCAAGTCTAGGCTCAAATTTGTGTTCCTCCTTCCTCAGCCTCCCACATTGGTGGGACCACACAGGTCCACTGCTATGCCCACTTGTCTGCATATTCTTTTGACTCTTCTTACCAAAGACAAATCTCTGTATTTTTAGTGTGAATTTGAAGATGGTTCAGCAGTCATATGGATCCATGTGGCCAAAGTATTAAATTTAATTTTTATACATTAGGATAAATGTGAGGTTTTCAGTCAATTTTTAATTAAATTATATAACCAAAATCCTGTCTTCAAAATTAGGAACATTAAAATACTTAAATAAGAAAATCTTATTTAAGCAATATGATAAAGATTATAATAAGCAAAATCGATCCTTTGGTATGATTTAAAAGTCTCAGTCTGTAAACTTTTTAAAAAAGCAGTTACAGAGATGTTTTCAGTAGAATAATTGAAAACCATGCTCTGTTTCTCATGGCAACCATTTTGAAAGCTAAGGCATTTATGTATTTTGGTATATTTTATCAAAAAGCAGAAAGCAAGAAAATCTGTTTGTGACCCTATGCCCAGGGTACCCATCTGTGGTAGCCAGACAGCAGGTAGCAGAGCTCAGGAGCTCCCACTGCACCCCTTTTCCCCTTCATCCCTGTTCCTGACCAGAAAATCTGAGGAGCGAGTAAAACAAGCGGAAAGGTTTGGATGGCTCATCTTTTGAGAAAATGATTTTTCCATTTCTAAGCCCTGAAACTAGTCTTCAGTGTTAGTGAATAAATCTAAACCCACAACATTATAAATCTAAAGTTACAAAATTACCTTACAATAGTGAGAACTGTGCCAATATGTTAGGAGCCTAACTTTTCCAGTGTATAAACTTTATCTTCATGGGTGAATCCGATGTGTACAGATCAGTCAGTTAGTAAAGAATTGGAAGTTTGGTGTAATTGATTACACTTGGCCTATAGGTCTCTTTCCGAGGACTGCTAGTTTATATCATTTTTGGAGTCTGTTATTCTCCACTGGAGAAAACTTACACAAGAAAGTTACACTTGGCACCAAGTCAGTAGGAGAATAAGGATGCCAGGCTAGGAGTGCCTGACTTTGACATCGGCGCATTAATCGTCTCTCTCCCAAATACGTACACTCCAGTCATCTGCTGCAGACCTTCAGTAGCAGGCATCAGGCCATGTTTCAGCTGTGGCTTCACAAATTCAGTCCTCCGAAGCTGGCCATGCAGATTTTACAAAACTCAGCTTCTGCTTTTAGTTTTTTAAATCCTAGGAGATAGAAAATTATTTACTTAATGACAACTGAAATAGTTGTGCAAAACCCCTTACAAGTACTTCACTGGCAGAGAAGAGTTTTGTCATAGTCATTGACTCAGCAGATGTTTCCTGCTATGCTTCCACTATGTCCTTAAAGTAGGAAAGAACTGGTAGGAAAGAAAGTGACCTTATTTAAATGTCTGCTGAAAAGCACAGTTTGTTATAAAATTGAATTTTTATGATATCCTGAGAGCAATTGGTTTTCGAATCTTGACCTTTTTTCACATCACAGAATAGTTTGTATTTTGGTGGCATTGTAATCACTTTTCCAGGATCAATTACCCGCCCCCCCCCCCCGCCCCACTGCAACTCCCCAAAAGAGTTCTCTTCCTCCAGCATTTGAAGGAAAAGACTCTAAGTCAGTTGCCTGACAAAGCAGTAAAGCAGTGACAAGGTCCTTGTATCCTGTCTCCTAGTCTCTAACTTGGTATAGATGAAGTACATCAATCTCTTTTCTTCTTTTATGGGGATGTTTTAGGTGTTTTAGAAGTGTGCTCAGTTGGCCACATATCTTTGTGAGACTGAGTTTGTTCATACGTCATTCTTGTCTACTTTTTGCCCCAGGTACACTTTGTTCCGGACGCTGGAACTGTGGCTCAGATTGTCTATACTGATGACCAGGGCCGCCCCCCCCAGCAGGTGGTGTATACAGCAGATGGTGCCTCCTACACTTCAGTGGATGGTCCAGAGCACACACTGGTGTACATTCATCCTGTGGAAGCTGCACAGGCATGTGAAGAATTGTTTTTAATTTGCTAATTAGTTAATTCACCAGTTGCTTATGTTTACTCTCTGTCCGTCATTGTGAAAGGTGCTGGTGGTGCAGAAGTCATTCAGATAAGATTTGTGCCTTCAGGGAACATATAACCAACTTGGCCTAGCTAGCACAAGATGGTTCATTTGTTTAACTTAAGTGCATTAAGGGGTTAAGAGCACTGGCTTTGAATCAGCTCATCTCTACATTGACCATTACTAGATTATCAATTTGTTAGTTTTCCTGAGTGTTAAGAACCATGCTTTTAATTCTGCGTAGCTTAATCAAATGTGGCTCAGTAAAAGAAAATATTCAGATTATTTTAGTTAATGTGTAAGCCAAGGATCCTACTAGCTCACTGACTACCATTTATTAATAACTTGCTGATTTGTCATACAACTGCAATAGAAGCCAAGGTATTTAGTCTGTATAATTTTAGCTACTTTTATTTTTTGCCAGTGAGTTGGATTTTTCAGAGATGCAACAGATATTCTCCAATATACAAATGTGATTTTATGCTCTTGTTTAAAACATATGTTTTAAAAGTTTTATTTATTTATTTTTGGGTGCTGGAGATTGAACCCAGGCCTTCATGCACATTTTACCACTGAACCAGCCCCCAAACCTGTGTTTTTAAAAATCACATTCCAGGGCCAGGGATTTAGATCAGTGGTGCCGCTGCCTGCCTCGCAAGCACAAGGTCCTGAGTTCAATCCTCAGTACCAAAAAAAAAAATCACATTCAATACTTTATAATAGGATTCTGGTAATAAAATTTTTCTCTGATACAATATTTAATCAAGAGGCTCAGATCACTTCTAAGAAGAAGTGAGGTTCATTGAATCAATGGTTTTCTAATCTTTATAAAGACGAAATTGTCAAATACATTTTTGCGAATGCCTTTGCTTAGTTTTAGTTCCCTATATTAAAATAAAATTACGTAGCTTATGCAAAAAATGTCCTATGCCCAACTTTGGTTTATTATAATGTTGCTGTCTGAATTTTGATAGTTTTTAAATATCAAATATAAAATGTCTGATATTCCCTGAAACTTTGCTACATTTCTCTAGAAGCTAAAACATAACCATAGTTCTTGCTAAAGTCTTGGGTAAATTAAAGTCCTTTGGAAGTTTTAGATGAAAGAATATTTTTCTGGATAGGATACATTAACCATAGTATCTTGGCTATGATAGTTTGGAAGATTTTCTGTAGTTCAGTTTTGTGTATTATGATCCCACTTGTATGTTTGTAACAAAGATTTGATGATGATGAGGAGGAGGAGGAGGAGGATGATGATGATAACGATAACTTTATTGACTTTATCCAAAATAGAACCTATAGGCTATTTTTTTGGTATTAAATTCTTTTATTGGTACATTGTAGGTATACAACAATTACATTTCTCATTAGGAATTGTACCTTTACA